ATATGAAATGACCTTTTCCCCAAGGATTGCACACAGATATGCCAACCTTTCTAGCTGTCAACATAAGCAAGCCACTTGTTTGTGTATCAACCTGGAAGCTTCACAAACAAACTGTGCTGAACTCCAAATCATTAATGTACTCATAACATATATAAACATAACTATACCACCCAACAAATGTGTCCGCAGAAACCAAGTGTTAAATGGCAAAGTAGTTTACGTCTAAATGTTGTCTCGTAAAGAAAAATGAGATTAGGTCGATTAGCTTTGCTAGATCTTTGTTCATTTTACAGGCTAGAGTCATTACAGGGTTTACACTCACACAAAGGCCATAAATCAACCTGAAAGCTTTTGATTTTAGTGAAAAGGCAGGGCCAATTTTCTCTGCGTCTCAGTTAAGTGACCACAGTCATCTTGCTGGCGTGAACCTCATGCTTGATGGAAAGGCTTTTCATTTCCGCTGTGTGTTAAGCAGCATGGGGTGAATTGGAAGATAAATACGAAAAATAGCAAGGTTACATGTCTCATGTACATCATGTGTGGTTCAGTGTTAGCTGTATTTCAACATGAAAGCAGTGTTAATTTATGAAAACAGCTGTCAGAACGGTTTAAGCCGCTATGATGGTTCATACAGTTAAAGCGATAGTTCACTCAAAAATTCTGTCATCATTTACTCACAATTTCTCAATTTGTTTATCTATAAATTTACAACATGTTTAGTTACAACCAAACAACATTTGGACCCCAATGATTAAAAAGTTAAAGCATTCTTCAATATTTCTTCTTTTGTGTTTTATGGAAGAAAGAAAGTCAGATAAATACAGGTTTGTTACCTCCTGATTCAAGCTACTCATTTCATCAGTACATTACCTAGGAATCGAACCTGTAACTGGCGTTGCTAGCGCCATGCTCTATCAGTTGAGCTAATGTGGTAAGACCACATGCTTCAGTGTCATCACTGGCTCCACAAAGACTAACAGACATAATTAACGTCTGGACCAGTCTTAATTCTCTCTGTCTGTTTCCCTCTGGTTCTGCATGTCACTCAATCCACTGTGAATAAACTGAAGGTCATCCACAGGTGAGAAAGACAAATCTTAATACAATCAGGTGCACTGGTTGCTTGGAAAAACATTATATTCCATGAACATTGAATATAATGACATTTCATCAAAGTTTTATCTGTGTTTATGTGTAGGCAGATGAGGAAACAGTCTTCATAGCGGTGTGTACCTGGTCTAATTAAGGCACGTCTGATATGCAGAGGTGGAACACAATCTTTTGCCCTCCCAACAACATGCACATTAGTAAGTTTGGTCCTAACGCCTCCACAACCTCGCGAGAACAGCTCATGTCCCCATGGCAATGCAGGACCCAGATTCACGTCTAGGAGAGACTAACTGTATTACACTTAATTAGCTGGAGCCATGACAATGACAGCATTGCATTACTGGTACAAGTGAAATTTGTACATAGGACATCTATCATTAATCCGAACAAAAATTACCAAACTAAAATTATGAATATTTGGATGAAAAAATTTGAATTGTCAAAAAACAATGACTTGCAAGGTGTCAGGGTCTTATATTTCAGAAATCAGTCCCAAGATGTGCACATTTCCTTTTTAACTGTACAAAATGTCTTTCAGCAGTTAGAAAGAATGACAGGTTAAGAACTAAATAAGAGACTGTGTTGCCATGGTAATCTTAAAATACCAAGAAAAACACGTGACATAACAACACAAGAATTTTAAGTGCAGGGACCGTGGTTCATAAAGTTGCGCTCGAGGGCTCTCCCACCCGGCCCTATCTGAAAAACAAACAGACTGAGATTGAGGATTGTGTTTGTTAGAGAACATGTTATGCACTTGAATACTGAAGCTGACTCTGAATATTGAAGCTCAACCTCAATCCTCCACAAAATGCATGTGTTTCGTGGTATTTGCACATCGCCCAAAACAAAACGTACACAAATAGAAATGCATGGCTTTGGGAAGACTGTTGTTTCCCATGCTCAGCATCTGCATTTAAATGTTTTTCTGTGTTTTACATGCTTCGTCTCTGGGACGCCTGGGACGTGTGTTTCGAAAAACAGCTTTGAAAAGCTGCTGTTTGTCTTTCTAACTTCCTTTGCTCCAGGAACAATTGAACATTCCTTTTTCTGTCTCTTAAAAGCTTTTTACATGCTTATTGAGATCATAAAACCCGTTCATAGTCTAAACAGAACCCACAACTATCTACAAACAGCATCTTTCTTGCTCTCATAAACATGTCAGGGTCAAAAGCCTCCTCCACAGATCATGACCGCCATATCACAAACCCCACGCTCTCAGCGGCACAGAGGATGATTTTCATTAACCCAGGGAAGTGCAAAGGCCCGTCGGGATCAAATATGAATTTGCCTTTGAGACACATTCACTAGCTGATGCTCAGGCACATGGTTTGACCTCCTTTGGTCTCCACTTTGCCCCACTGAACTCCTCTGTGTCCCTCCCATGCTAGCCAGGGGCCACTGCATTGTTTGTGTCCCCACTGTTGGATCATGCATAGCTGATCCACTGTGTGTACCGTGAAAATGAACAGTCGTAATCAGTGATTTATGATTGGCTCGAGTCTGTGATGTGAATGGACATGCAAATGCAGACATACAAGATACACATGCAAAATACAGAAATACAAGATATACATACACAGGAAAAAAATCACTGTCTAAATCAGTATTTTTGTCCTGTACCTAGTGAACTTATATAAACACCTTTAAAAGGACTAAATTACATTTTGAAATATGTCAAAATAGAAAAGAGATCTTTTAAATTGTAATAATATTTCTCCACATTACCATTTTTACTGTATTTTTCTTTAAATAAATGCAGCTTCTTTAAGAAACATTTAAATGCACACTTCTGAAAGATAAATGTAAACATACAAATATTCCAAATAAAAATTTTGTGGGATTGCCTTCACAGCAACGGATATGTACACCACTACAAGATTTTGCATCAGAAGCAAATCCATGATGTTAAAAAATGGTGCCATTTTGGAAAAGCGCTACTGTCTCGCTCTGTCTATCTTTATCGCTCAGTCTTCTGAAAAATGGAAATGTGCTCTCCGACCAACCATGTAATTTCTGCATGCCAACTTCAAAGCCACAAAGTCCCTCTACTGTATCAGGAACAGCAGGATGAAAGGTGATGTCTGTTTGTCATGTCAGGTACACGCTTTCCTTCCTCTTTCCTTATCTACTGAATCTGATATGGCCTAACCTTGACATAACAGTAATCAGTGAGGGAAAACAGGAACAAAACAACTAAAGACAGAGTGGCCGTAATGTCATAAACACAGGACCATGATGCAGGACATGACAATATAATGTCCTTGAATGTGCAAAAAAAATAAAGAGAGGCCAAAACAGGTGTAAAATTATCATAGCTAATGCTAATAATGCCTAAGAAAGAATAAGAACAGCCCAAATAACGCTTGAAATTACACTTACATTGAGTTTCAGCTTTGGATGCTCTGTAGTTTATGAAGGACAACTATATTTTAAGATGGCATCTATATTTAAAGGTGTGTTTATGTTTTGCTAGCAAGCTACAATTTTTATTTTTATCTAGGTCTGTCAGTCCGACCAAAGGTCTAGGTCTGTCAGTCCGACCAAAAATCTGACAGGCATGATTTCAGTGGAACTAAAGTGCTTACAAAACATTGTTTCAGTCTGATTGAAACAGAGCTTTTAAAGTATATGTAAACATACTTACTCACTCATAATTAATTTACTCTGCAACCGAATTTGTGATAAAGTGAGTAGCCTATTATTGCACTGGTCATGTGACCTCAATATGGCGGTTATAAAGAGAGACCACCCTTAAATAGAATAAAATAGCTTACTCTATACAACAGATTTTATGCTTTTCTTTGGCTATATATACTTCAATGGATAAAAATACTAAGTGCACTTTTAAAGGAAAAGATATTGAGATAGGTATAACAAACTGTAAAAGTGTATTTTCAGCATGTGTTGGCCATTAAATACATCATAAATGGAACTGATTTGAGGTTTCAGGAAGAGAAAGAGAAAATCAGGCAGTTTTCCCATCAAAAGAATGAATCTCCTCTAGGGCTTCTGTATTCAACAATGCTACTACTGTTGTTCTAGAGCTGTTTAACTGTGCAGTTTTTTGCTTTGTATATTATTCACATAAACATTGGCTGATTGGCTGGACTCTTAACGAGCCGCCCCTAGGGAAAAAGTCATCCCTTATGGAAGAGATTATAACCATGCAACTCGATGCACACCCAAGATTGCGGTTAGCATGCATTGCACACAAGTACAATGAAATAACACATTTGCAACACTGTAATCAGAAATCAACTTGGACTCAAGGGTTAACCAGGGGGTTGATTAGAGATCTGGGTGAGAGACAAGATCTCCATCTTCTAAATAGAATTACAGCTCAAGAGAGATTCGCTAATTGTCCCCTTGTTGCAGAGAAATGTCAAAGAGAGCCTCATAAAGGCCTCACATAACCATTAGAAGAGTTGTAAAAGCTTGAAGCTGCTTTGAGGAGAGATGGCTAATGAAGTGGGTGGCAGTGAGCTGAAAGAGCAGAGATTCGGTATGTGGTTTGACAAAATGGCCAGTAACACTTTAAAAAAATTAAGAACACTTGAATTTTTTTTTTTTGTTGGAACCTTTTAAAAAAAAGGCAATTGCACTGCAATGACCTAAATAAGCTTAACTTCTACGAAGAACCTTTTGTGCAATGGAAAGTTCCCATGGATGTTAAAGGTTCTTCATGAATAAATAGATGCTACTAAAGAACCTTTATTTTGTACGCAAGCTGTAGTATGTGTGAGAGGCAGACAGAGAAAGAGGGGATATTTTCATGCAACCTGACAAGACAATGAAGTAAGTATTTTGAAGTAAATAACATATTAAGTGCAGCCTGGGGCCATGATGTTTTTCTCAAGCTTGTAATACAGGTGTGAGAATTGACTTACACTAGTGACTTTGCGGTAGATCTGCGCAGCGTTTTGACACTCTGAATAAGGGTACTCTGATGTGGTCATCTCCAGGATGCACATGCCAAAGGCATAAACATCCACAGCTTCGTCATATTTCTCCTCATACATCTCTGGAGCCATAAACTCTGGTGTTCCTGTGTGGAAGCAAAGATCAAGACCAAAAAATAAGCATTAAGTAACCATTTAGCAGGCACTTTTATTCCTCATGGCTTAACCTTGTATAAAGTGTCTTGCTCAAGGGCACAATGGTGATCCCAGAGCTTTGGTTGGCCCTCCAACTGACTGAATGTTAAATGTGCACTCATAAACATGAACAGTACATTTGAGATCCAAGTTGAACTTGAGCTTGAACTATTGGTTGTGCTTTCCTGACGTCCAATGCAGGTCATGCATTCTTTAATTATTCATGTCACTGAACTCTCCTAATCTGAGCATGAGCAGATCAGATTTTAAACCGTGTTGAGCCAATGCTGAGCTAATGAGCTGATGTGATATAAGCACCACCGTATACAGACGAGGTGAGAAATCTGTCAATCGCTTGTTGGGCCATAAATACAGTTGACAGAGTACACAAACAAGGCAAGCCCATAGTAGAGGTAGCTCAGGGCACTGTTTACAGTAACTGTTGTGAAGGTCAAATAAAGTTCTGCTGGATTGCTTGAAGATAAATTGTTGACATTGTAACATCTAAATAAGCAGTACACTGAAATGTTGTGGGATTTTTAACTCACCAATGACACTCTTGGCAAATGAGGCACTCTTGAGAGTAGCTAGACCCAAATCACCAATCTTAACATATCCAGTGGGGCCAGTGATGAAAATGTTGTCACATTTAAGGTCTCGGTGGATTATGGGTGGTGTTCGGGTGTGCAGGAAATGAAGGCCCTTCAGGATCTGATGACTCCAACGCTGGAGAAGCTTCAGCTTCATCTCTTTGAACCTTTTCAGGTACCTACAGGGAAACAGGTCAGCATTGTAGTTATATTCGTTTTTTTCATTGTGAGAATATTAGTTCCCTTTCGTGGAACTTCGAACTGCGTCCTCTAGGGGTCGCTATGGGGAACGCCTCATCGTGACCCGTGTCTGAAGCCTACATTGAAAAAACACCAACTTGTTTGGCCGGCGACAGCCATGACGTCACTACCGTCGCAACTAGTACAAAATAGGCGCCGGTAGCGCACATCATCACTTTCTTCGGCTTCACTGACCGTTCTGTTTGAAGCGTGCATTCCAAAAGCAAAGTAAGAG